AATGCTCATCAACAAAGGAAATTACAGCAGTACAGATTTCCTCGAAGATTTTTGCAAAGTCTCTCACATTCATGCAAAAGGTTGGCAATCAGGTTTTAATTCAAACCGGCTTAAGCATGATTTCACAGAGAGCCCAAAAATTTTCTATGGAGCTTCGACCAGCAGTACAAGCAAGCCATCGAAGAACTGCAATGTTTTAGCCGCTATCAACACTGCGATTTATCAATTAGCACGGGCTGCCGTGCATAGAAATGAACCAGAGGTAGCATCACCGCTGAATGGCTCAAAGAAGTGTTCTCTGCTTGTAGAAGGGAGAGCTCAACCTTAACGGCCCCTATGCTCAAAAAGCTCCCAAACTGCCTCAGTTGGTGTCCCCTAGAGGATATTAAGAATTCTAGAATGACTGATAGTGCGTTAATTAAATGTTACACAATCGATTCGATTTAGCAGCTCAGTGGGAAGTGCAGATTTGCTATGGGAAAATAGCTGTCTGTGGCAGAGATTTAGGGTCTCCTATAGAGCACAACGTGAACCGAAGGGACAATCGCGGGAAAGAATGGCTCATAATCAAGCGGGAGCTACGGCGTTATATAAAGTTGGCTTTCCCATAGAGACTTTTAGTGAGACGTACCCTAGCCAACACTTGTCGGTTGGTACCATCACTTGCTGAGTGGTTTCGAAGGATCCGCAAAGCCACTGTGAATGGTTCTCCTCTTAATCGCCTGCGTGCCCTGTGGGTCTCGATTTTTGTGGGTTAAGAGACACATCTGATCGGATGGTCACAGATCGCTACGATCCTTCCAGGCTCCGGAGAGGGCGATGTCGTTATACAAAGAAGAGTACAAGAAAGCAATAAACTCAGCAGTACAACATTTACCGAAGTTCGTAGAAAGCCGTACGTGGACGCCCAATGTGTTGCCAATGTATTATCTGAATGTGCTGATAACTCACCCTGTGAAATTCCGCTCTGAAAACTTCGCATCTAATCAACGAAGGCAAAAAAAGACGGAAACTTCAGAGCAGCTTGAGTAATATGAGGAGAAGTGAAACAGAAAAGTACGGTTGGGTGGAGTGTATCCATCCAACTGACAGAGACCTCTCGGTGTTCAATCCACTTCTCCCATCGTTTCACAACTTTTTTNTTTTTTGATACCCTTGTTCAGTGGGATTCACCATTGGCCATTGTCGCAACGTAGCAATGACGTGGCCATCGATTGCACAACTTCTTCCCCACTGTGCTTTCTTGAAGATCGAAATATATGAAGGGTTACCAAGGTCGACTCTCTATGAATCTCTGCATAATTGTATTACTGAGTTTACGGTTTTCTTGAAATCTTTACGAGGCTTGTAAATAAGCTTAATTAGGCTGACGTGTCGGCGAAGTTGCCTTCTTCTGGGCTTGAAAGGATCATAACAATTTGTGCCTGTTCGATCAAACGTTCCTACTGACTCACTGAAGTCATCCTTTAATCACCTGCGTGTCTGGCGTCTCGAACTTCGATGTGGTAGTGGAGCCATTGATCGGATATTCACAGATTGTTATGATCCTTTCAGGCTCTGAAGAAGGCGACTCCGAAGAAACGTCAGCCTAATAAAGCTTATTTACACACCTGGTGAAGGGTTCAAGAAAACAATAAACTGAAATGCTTAAAAACTAATATATGAAAAGCGCTGGGAGTCGGGTTTAGACCGTTTGGACGCTCTACTCTTCAGAGCGCCACTTTTTTAGTTCTTTGGTTTTCCATCTGACAGAATGTAGTGAGAAGTGCCTTGCCAACAGTATGACACTTCTTCGCATCTTTCCACGCTGTCCGACTTACAGTTGAGAGCTAGCGCCAGCGATCTCATATTTTTGGGTCTTTAAAGAAAGCGTTAAGAGGATTCACAATCGATGAAAACGGTATTGCTACTGGGCAAACTTGCATATGAATGCGACTGAAAACCGGTTTTCAATAGAATCAAGAAACTTCTGAAGCATTGGGGAAAGGAGATTGAAGTCCAGGGAGGTTACATTGAAGATCAAAATATATGGTCAAGGTATCAACGATAGAACAAGTGCTTTTCGCTCAGATGCATCTTTGCTCCCTGATTTCCTCTTATACGTACTTGTTGGGTCTTTTTAAGAAGAATTTGATGTGACAGTTCAAATATGCGGTATCCCGTACATGATTCTTGTAAAAATACAAATCTTCGGTTGCCCACAATACCTCTTTGTTATCCACCTTTCCGATATTGCCTTGGTCAATACCAGAAAGCCAATTAAAGCGAATAAGATCTATTTACTTTTTATCTAATTATTTTTTATCATCTGATGTCTTTTTCTGGTTACTGTAACACTCGGCAATGTTTACAAATCTACGAATTCCCCAGCAACAAATGCATACTGAAAAGCACAAATTGCTTTGTTCTATCAAGAAGCTGACGGATATCAAAGTTTGTGAACCTATCGGAAGCCGCTCAGTAAATGGAATCTGCCTTATACTACTTAATAGCTCGCATTACTCTAATCTACAACATGCAGTAAATGATGCATAACAGGCATGCAAGGCGTGCATAGTATTGTATTGGGTTGATGCATAATTACCGCTGATTTTTCCATCAATTTTTACTTGAAAGAACGATAAAAATATTCAGCAAAGATATGTTCAAATAATTACTCTGGAACACACCCACCACTACGTAAAACACTGTTTCCCATTCGCTAGGCAGTCGAATTGTACAAGCGAAGAAGTTTCGATTGTTGGAGGTGATCCACGCCTTGACGTCGGCCATCAAGTCATCCATTTCGTCGAAAGTTCTGTTCGTTAGCTGATTTTTGAATGGACGATTGGCGTGATAACCTAAAGGAGTTTCTGTTGGTGGATGGGGCCAACGTAGAAGCAGATTATTATTATTCTATTCGTTATTCGACTTTGGCTGACCGTTACATCGTCGAGAAGTTCGTTGAGATCACTTTATGACAGCGCCACCTTTCAGCCGTTCTGGAAGTAATAGAGCGTATTTTGGCGAATATGAAGATGACATTTTAGTCATGTTTCTATTAGTAGGAGTCAGAAGATTATATCTATTAAACCTCGAATTCAATATTGGAATTGTAGTGAGAGAAAAAAAACTGCGAGAAGGACTGCAATAATTATGCATCAACCTTTTATGAACCTGATCATACAACACGTACGCATTATGGTGTGAATTTTGCCCATTCTACGGAAGTCTGAGTAGTGATTCCCTTTATTTTCGAGGAAACCCCCACTGTGCACTCTTCTGCAATGGTGAGTGATAATTTATTTTTATTTTACATTTTGCCAAATTGCTTGGCACAGCTTTTTGTTTGCTGATCGTGCTACTGTTAATCTCAATTCGGTGATAACCCACAGCAAAGTGTACCAATGTTCTCGTATACTTTCTGATTGATTGAAAAAATTTGACAAACGAATTAGAATTAGCTTTTTCCTACCCGTACCGTTTTAGACAATGTAGAAGGTCTAACTATAGAAGGTGATACGTGTATTCGTGGGAATGACAGAGGGGCACGACTCATGTACTCCAAATTAAGGCAGGGTCGATCACGGCACCTCAACCGATTGATGTATAACTTTAAGCTGAACCATTGCCTAACCATGACTCCAGTTGCGGAAGTCACTGCAAAAAGAACCATAGAAACAAAGGAGTTAAGTTCAAAAGAAGCGGAACAGCAACAGAATATGTAGGTACATATGTATGTGCTGTTGGCCTTTAAAGATGGTTCGTAATAGAGGCAGTAAGTCGATATAGCCGTTTTTTCACATAATCGGCCACGTGCCCGTTTCAGAACCCTATTAGTATTTCGATAATTCCCTTATCTCATCGAGACACGAAATCACTGTGTTCGCTCTCTGAAGTGTTAAAAACTCTATAACAACGCCCTCGAACTCGTTTTTAGGAATTTTCAGAGCTTTCTATGAAAATGCTGTCTCCTGCAAGTCACTCCTCTGAAGTGGAATACGATTCATCCGTTGATAGTCTTTCCACACATGCAATTGAAAGAGCTTTTAAGCTAAAAATCATATTTCCTTAGATACCCTTCGAGAACACGAAGGCGGATTTTCTTAGATCACGGTTTGATAAGTCGACCTATGTTCATAGTACACGATCGATTCGGGTCCCTCTTACCAAATGCAAAAAGGCACAAGTAGCCAAGATTTATTAAGCAGTCGATTTGGTGATATTGACGGTGGCCCCATTTATTCAACCCCATCGTTATTGCGTTACTGTTCAGCGAGTTGCTCCTTCCCATAAAATCATGTCGGGAAGACTCACATATCAACATTTTTGCTGCATGAAAAGTTTTACAAAATACAATTTTCGACTCCCTACATAGGTTCCAAATATCATTTACAACTGGGATTGAATGAATCCGAACTCTGGGGTCGGTAGCTCTGAATATTCCTCTGTTACTCCCTCATTTGTCCAAAGTCTCCTCATGGTAGGCACACTGCCCCTAAAAAGAACCTAGGTTCCAGTTCGTTCGATTTTTCAGATGTGTTGCACAATTTCTTCATAACGAGAACCTCAAGATCCATCCAATGATTTATCTGTTTCCCTCGAAGGCTAAGGTGCAAAGCACGTGCCGTTGAAAAACGGGGTGACTTTGGCTGACGGTGTACTTCGGTGATTTGCAAACGGCGTTCTCATTTCAATGACGGCCACCGCATACCATTAGTTATCGCTCTTGTCTTGGATGCCATTCTCCCTTATTGTCACAAATGCTTTTTGCCTCCCCACCAATAGCTATTAAACCGCATTCGATCATGAGAGGCGCGCTCTTTCGTGCGTCCTAGAATATTTTTTTCAAAACAATTTGATGGGCTGTTAACTCGTCTTTAAAGAATCTTCCATAATTACAATAAAAGCACTGTATGTGTTCATGTCTCCTCCAGATAACGGCGCCCTTTGTCGCACTCAACTACGCCGTCGTTTGTGCTCCAATCTGATTGTATAAGCTGCGGATATTTCGTGTGAAGATGACTCGGGAGACGGATCACAAAGCAAAGACGTCAAAGAAAGACTTCAAAAGGGGGTAAGTTGACTTTTCTCAATGTTAAGCGATTGCCTAATTAACAATACTTGCACTGAAAAGATGCTCTCGGTAGTATTCTCTGATAGGCAACAAGTACAATTCTCCTTTGAAATGCACCTTCTCTACCAAAGTTGCTTGCTTTCCTGAAAGTCAGCTCACCTGAGTCCGTTAGGCTTTCGTGTGTTCATAACCATAATACACACTGGATTGCTTGAGTTGGAAGCGTTATATTAGGTTGTTCGGATATAAACGAGACTTTTGACACGAACTTTGAACATTACAAAACTTTTTATAGCAAGCCTTTATTACAAACAAGAATCTCCACAAATATCAACAACGCTTCGCCATCGATCATACATGTTGTGGATGTCGTCTTCAGAGAATTTGGTTATCTATGAATCGGAGTGTGATGACCGTAGTATGACCCAAGATCGGGAGACGGGCGTTAGGAACGATTTCAGGTAATCGATTCGCCGCACGCGGCTGTCGCGGACCACTCATTTGCCATTATTGAGCTCTAGCGTTCTTCATATAGCTCAATCGATATTCGATCATTATTTTATGCATAATTCTACTATTAGTACTTTTGCTCTTGTATTTCTCACCTACTGCTGCATCCTGCTACATTCCTTCGAGCGCGACGCCTCTCTCACCGCAACGCGACCACTTCGTTCCTAATGCACCACACCCCCCAAGATCGGACTTCGCCGATATTGTGAAACCTTTTCTCCGGTAATCCTCGATGCATCGATCGAAATAGATGGTAGTCAGGAAGAGCCAAGTTCTCACTATGCGGCAAAACTTTCCAGTCCAACTCTTCCATTTTTAGCTGAACAACCTTTGAACGTGTGGCCGACCATTATCCTGAAGGAATTTGATAGAGTATCTGTTGTGGATTCACAACCATATAGATGTTTAACTAGCCTAGAACTAGCCTTTACCAGTATGATAGATAACATACGAGTTCAACATATTAACCTTAGGCATAACTTGTCATGTGTATCTCTTGAGTTGAGACCACAGGCATGACCTGGCGATATCATAAGTGTGCAATCACGTAGGTAGCTTAAGTTCTGCCGTTGGCGCGGTCCGCTCTTTCAACCCCCTAGCTTGAGTACGCCACGGGCCCCTATGGTCCAGTGGCGATACGGTATCTGAGGACCGCCCACATATTGTGTATTAGGTTGTAAGGAAAGTTCTGGCCGTTATGTCAGCTATTTTTCAAAAAATCATAACTCATCTCAAAGTGAACATTTTTATTCAAAGTAAGCCCCATTCGATTCCACTCACTGTTGCCAACGTGATACAAGTCTGTCTAACCCATTCTTATAAAAGTCCGGCGATCTGGATTCCAAAAACTCGAGAAAGGCAGCTTCCACCTCGCCTTGATTTTTGAACACTCGTTCCTTTATGAAACTGTCCAGATGTTTGAATAAATATTAGTCAGTTGGTGACAGGTCTGGTGAGTAGGGTGGATGAGGGAGAGCTTCTATTCGCAACTCGTTCAACTTCTGGAAGACAATTTGTGACACATGCGGTCGCGCATTGTCGTGCAAGAGCAGTG